TGATAAGGAATGGAGGAATGGCACAGTTCGCAATGCAGGTAGACGAGACACTAGCATACTACCGTTCATCTGCTAAAGGGGGCCATTTCGCTTTCATCTATGAGCAAAGATTCGCGTTTTAACTCTAACAACAATATCATGTAGAGAAGCTGCAACATTTTGAACGAAATCGTGAGCTACTCAATAATGTTCGTTTCATCGAATTTCCAGCCGTGTTTACAACCCTGTCACTATCAGGAAATGCTCATGCGGACCGGCTTATCTAGCTGCGGAAAAGTAACGGAAAATCTGAAGCTTGAGGTGATTGCAAAGCTCAATACAGGCATCACATTGCATAACAGCGACATCCACCGTATGCACTGAAGATCAACAAGGAATACGCGCTGATCCAGAACTTCAAGGCAAGCCATGGCTCGATTCGAGGTTTCGAGAAAATCTGTGGCCTAGTCTTCCGTCACAACCTTAGCTTCCAGAAAGAACTTTCAGGATAGAGATCGTATCACTGTAGAAGCCCAAAGGTTCACAGTGGAAGTGAAAGGTATGCACTTGTTTAGCAGATTTGTTGGTGACTTTGCCTGCTACGTTGTTAGTGCGATTTTGTTCCCAGAAATGGAAGTGGCCCTTGGAATCAGTTTGGAATGCGGATCAATCAGGATTTTCGAGGGAGTTGCACACAGCCCGATCGCTGGCCATTAGAGGTTCGAAGACGGTTGAAAGAGTGGTACAGTCAGTATTGGCCACAACGCACTCCTTTACTGTAATGCCACCGTAATGCTTTGCTGATGGCCACCTGGTAAAAACACTTTTGTGGTAGCGCAGGTCTGCACGCAAATTCAACACTACGGAGTGTTCCCTTCCAAAGTGCATTTCCAAGCTTCTAACCTGGTGTGAGCAAGTACGACTCATATTACGAGTAAACAACAGATGCTGGATTGGATTGCTGTAATTGTTTATTACACAGGTACCCCTGTGTGGTAAAAAAAGGACACAAAACCAACAAACAGAGCAAAACAGTACTGCTGGAACCTATGTGAGAAACCGCTATAAAAACCATGAATCACACGCGAAAGGAAAATTGAATGCTGATGTGATGAACGATGCTTGCAAAGGTATTATGATGTAAATGTTTGTCTAAAGCAGCCTTAAAAGCGCTTAGTTTGCTCGTGGTCACTCCCAAGCGTACCAGTCTGTTAAACTCTAGGGACGGTCCTATTAACAAAGAAGTGATGCCTGATATTACTCTTAGTTCGACGAGTAATAAGCTTTCTAGAACTACCTCTGGTAATTGACTCTCTGACAGCAAAAAGAGTGTTGGGTCTAATACCAGTGTGTAGATGAAGAATCTTGTAAAGGAAGATTAGGTCAAATTTTTTCCTTCTGAGAGCTAGGGTCTCCATATTGAGGTTAAGGTTCCGCACCACACTGGTAGGTATTTGTTCATACTTGTATCCCACCGCTCTCAAGAAAACCTTTCTGGTAAAAGTTATTTGTACTCTTTCTAAACAGGGCACGCCATCGCGTTGTGGTCATTTTCCGCTGAATGCCACCCTCCCCCCCCCTCCCCCAAATAAGGGTCTTAATACGACCCCCCTTTCACGAGGGTAAACGGGGCGAAGAAAATGACAATAAAGAGAACTAGGCACTATTGAACTATTCCTACCCCAAGAACTCAAAAAATTTCTTTGTCTATAGATGTTATTCGATGTCCTGATCACGAGTATGACATCATTTCTCCATACCAGCGCTATTTAGCGCTCTGCTGAGGCTGAAACTGGGAAAGGAAAGATTCCCCTCAGGCCAGGCTCAGTCTTAGCAAAGCGCAGATGACCATAGTGTCGTACGTTAACGCCGGCGCCAAGAATAAATGTCATATTCGTAGTCAGGATGTCAAATAACCCCCGTATACAAGTTTTCATCGATTTTGGTGATTTAGGGTATTTTGGCTCCGGCGATTACGGCGGAAGTTTCGGGGCGGATGCGATATTCGTGTTCATGAGGCCGAAGTACCACTGTAAGCAAATTTTCAGCCAAATCTGCCTCTTAAAAAGTCGATGAAAAAGGCAGAAAAAGGGAAGCTGTGACTGATCAGACTAAAGCCTCCTTGCATACAGTGGGCGCCCACATATCGTGAATTCGACCCATGAAGCACTGATTTCGGCACACTGGGGTAGCAATAGC